TATATATATATATATATATATGTATTGAATCAACACTCAGTGTCTATTAACTGGCCTCACGACTATAAATATAAATACAAATATATAAATACAATATTTGCTATGTTTACTGAAACGCCAATAGTTGACAGTTCTCGTAACCGATCACGTAAAAAAAAAAATTAGAAAAACGGAAATACGGTTGCTCGAAGGTGACCGGCGATTAATACTTATAATAAACGAAATCATCGGTATCGGATGGCTAGTTGAAGTTTAGAGTTGAGTTTGTGTAACGTAAAGGTGAAATTATATTATCAAAGTGACAATAAAGTTCATTTTAAATATTAAATTTTCGTTATTAGGTTGCAAAGGTATATTTCTATTCATCAGCAAATTCCAGGTATAGTCGAAAATATTTGAAAGTATGGTAATTCGAAAATTTACACTCTAGTACCAATCATTATAAACTAGACCCCGTATACTTATGCAAAATTCGTACAATATTTGAGAATGTAATGAAAATAAAAGAAATTGTTCTGTGCATTCTGTGCAGTTTTCCAATTTTACTTCAATCTGGCTATTCTCTTCATCGAATTTTAAAATTTCTGTCGGGAAAGTTAATGAATTGAACGGTGATTTAATAATTCTGCGACGAATAGTTGTATGAATTACTTCATGAGTGTGGATTTTGGAAACTTGAGAGAATACATAGATAGCAATTATTATTATAAAATGTTTATTTGATCCCCCCTTACGCCCCTAAAAAAAAATTCAAAATAAAATTGTGTTTTTGGATTATTAAAAATGTATTGACGTTTCAACTCGTAGTTCCAGCCAAGAAAACGCGTCAGACGGTGGTTAATCGTTTCTAAAAAAAAATGGAGTGGAAACAAACAGTCCAAACAGTCACATTCTACTACAGAGTGAGACGCGAGATTCGAAGCCTGGGTTATGAATTGCGTAAGCGAAGCAATTCGAAGTTAATCTTCAAATTAATTTTCGAGAATGTTAAAGTAACTTCTGAGCTGAACTTAAAATCGGGAATACAATGGCCACCAACGTGCACTACAAATTTTGAAACGATGCAGGTAAACAATGGAACTGAAGAACCGATTCTACTTAACATGTTGACTATCAGGTGAAGCTTATACGTTTTACTTATATTAATATTTAATTTTTATAAAATGAAAGTGCAACGG